CGCGGTCCTGCCGGGTGACGGGCACCCAGACCTCCACATGCCTCATGGTGAGCGCTTCCTGCTCATCTGCTCGTGTGTGTGTTTATGACAGAACGAGCGGGAGGAAGACCAATGCAAACACTAACAGAAGCACTGCTAAATTTAGATGCTGTATCTGTGTTGGTTTTGTTCTGTGCAGGTGGTGGTCCTGTGTTTTTCGGTGTTCTTGGGGAGTTTCTACCAAGGCCTGAGTCCCTGTTCCTCCGTCACTAAAACAGACCTGAGCAGAGAGGTCTCCATACAGGACTCGTACACCACCACAGGTATGCATTAACGGTACTGGAAATATACTGAGACACAAAACTTTACTCTTCATCACTTAATGACCATTTGTTTATAGGTTTACATCGATTATGTAAATAATAACGTCTCTTCATATAAAGCTGGGAAATTTTTATTTATTTGATTTTAATATCTAAAAAAAAAAAGATCAATATATGATATATCTAATTAGATGTGTATTTGCTATGGAATTATATAAACATAATATATGTATGTGTGTGTGTGTAAATATTTAATTTTTAAAATACAATAAATATCCAAATAATTGTGTATATATGATCACTGTACACAATTTTATAATTATAATATATTTATTATAATTACATAAAAATATTAGTAATTTAATAATTTATTTAATATTTATCTATTTATGATTTATAGTGTGTGTATATGTATGTGTGTGTGTATATATATATATATACACACACACACACATAATATATATTTTGAAATATATCATTTAATATAAATAAATAGCTATGATTTATATATACATAATTTACATATTAATATAATATATGTATGTTACTATTAATAATAATAATTGATATATTATATTCAAATATACTGTAAATAAATAAGAGAAATGTCTATTACCTATTTATAATTTATTTGATATATATGTGTGTGTGTATGTTATATTCATCATATAATTAATTATATTAAATTATCTATTTAAATAAATATTCATCTTTAAACATGTGCCATTTGTTTGTATATGTCAGATTTTTTTGTGTGTGTATAATATAAGTAAATAATTATTAGTTTTACCTGTACAATTTTTTACAGGTATTATATTAGTTACATATATATTCCAGTTATTGATTTAGTAAATGTTCCTGTCGTATATGATATACTAATCTATTACACATATTCAACAGTCTGCCTTCATCTATTTGTGTTAGTTTGCCTCCAGGCTCAATATTAAAGTTGTGTCATCAGTCATCAGTTGTGTGAGGCTATGTATTTGTTGACTAAAGTATGGATTTAGTATTAATGCAGAAGTACTAGAGCTGCTGTCGTACGGAACGTTTTCATATCGATCCAGCCCTAATACACACACACCCCGCTCGTGTCTGTTGCAGTCTCTGCTGTAATTAGCTCATTATTCTCTGTCTCTCTTGTTGACTAATGAATGGCGGAATGGCTGGATTTGGATCCATATTAGTGTTCTGCGCCCCACTCTTGAGCTGCTGAGAGTCATTATCAGTGCTGGAGTGGGCCAGTAATTATCATGCCTTTAAAAGCAGAGCGATTGGTTAATCATCGCTGATCTCTGATCTGCCCGCAACACGTTTCTCCCACGCGCGTCATTCAGTTAATGCACCGCTTTAACAAAACACTACTGTACTAATAAAAGAGCTGCTCTCTTTGGATTTCAGCAGTACAGTAGGCCCTGTTTACACCTGATATTAATATCCATATCAGGTGATACAGTCACAAATGCTCAGCAGAGGCATCTGTTTTTAACGGCAATGAAAAAATAACTAAAAGCTGCCAATGTAATGTTTGTTCATTTCCAGAACCTGTTTGCCTTTCAGGATATAATTTATAATAAGTATTAAATATTATTAAAAGTATTAAAATTGTTATGAAAAATAATGAGAAATAAAATGAATAAATAATTATATAAATAAATACAATTTGTTAAAAATATATATTTTATTTTTATGATTTTCTTTTTTGATTTTTAAAACACCAACACAAATAAATCACAACAAACAAAACACAAACAAGGAACAGATACTGTCATCTCTGCTTATAAATATTGCATATATACAGGTGTATATATATATATATATATATATATATGTGTAAATTAATTTTATTAAATAAATCATATATATATAGAGAGAGAGAATAAATAAATATATTAAATAACATTTCTATTTTAAATAACTTATCTAGTGGACCCTGTGTATACCTGTGTATACTTCACCATTTGCATCTGGTAAATAAAAAAGCAATCAGAAAAAGACTTCAGTGTGATGTTTGCTCATTTCCACAGTGAAGTCCCGGAACCTGTTGTCCATTCCGGAGCACGGGGGTCTGGACGAGCCTCATCCCGTTGGGCTGGGCGGGGAATATCCTGAATGGGACCATCAGGCCGATGTAATGGTGGCTTGGCGTTTAGAACAACAGCACAAACAAGAGCAGGCGGAGCTTCGTGAAGCAGAGCCACGCCCACTTATACTAAACACCAATGAAACACGAGCGCAGAAGGCCATTCTCATAGACCTGCACTCACACAGGTAATGCCCTTCCTTCTGTGGCTGCCTTCAGTTCGATGATTTGATGACACGTGGATGTTGAACATTCGGTTTTGTTTCCGCAGGTCAGATAAGTGGTCAAACGAGACGACTAAAGTCATAGAGACGTCCTGAGATCCCTTCCTTCTCTCCCCTGCAGCGGCGGGGCGATAGGCTTCATATTTATAGTACTGGTTTACTTAGATGTCCCTTTTTTTTTTTTTTTTTTTATAAACACAAAAAACTCAAAAATGTATTTTTATTCTATTCCAGCAGTATATCAAATTTTGATACTCATGTACACTATTTTCTTTTTTTATATGCTTTCGATTTGTTTTAATATTCTTTCTTTTATTATTTTTATTTTTTTTTGCCTATTTGCCCCGTGCTACTGAGAATGTGTTGTAATATATTAAATTTGCATCTGTTTTCATATTCGCATTACGATGATAATGGCATCACGTATCAAAATGCCTTTTCCAAAGATTCATAAAAATAGTGCAAAGATTCAGACTGTATTCAAATTATAGGCTAATCGCTCTGTTTACAGTTTGAAGATGGCAAATTTCCAAAGCATTTGTCTGAATATGTAAATATTTGCAGTATGCTTTATTGTAAGTGTGTTGGGAGATTGATGTGATTGATATCGATGGAGATGTTTGTCGTTGAGGGTGATAAAAGCGGGACAATATGGACTTGACATGAAAAGGACGGATTCTCTCCTTCCCTGAAGTCCCTCATATGACGTTACCCTCTTTATTAAGGACAGATGGCCCTTTTTGTCCTCATCTGGCCACCATCCAACCCCCGTCTGTGCTCTTCTGGGAGTAAAAGACGCTCGCTGACAAGTCTAGCGTTCTCTTGCTCTGATATGAACGACTGTGACGACCTGAGTCCCGAGCGATCTGCATTCAGGCATGCTGTGGACTCGCTTGCACTGCGTCCCTGTAGAATGGATCTGTTATTTATTATTTTTAGTATGCCTGCCATCCTTTTATCCTGGACTCAAGAGCATTTTGAAGGAGATGGATTTGTCCTGACTCGATGCATTCAGATGCAAACGTTTGTCACGCAACATCTGTGTCGGAAATGATGTGCATTTCTTATGTATTTGGCATAGCGTCTTAATTACATTACACTTTCACTGCATCACAATTCAATTTCAGGCTCTTAAAACGATCTTCCTGAAATCACTCTGCCTTGTTTTTGTCCTCTTTTCTGCAAGCAAATAAATATTTTCCTTAGTAAAAGCATTACAAATCATGCGTCTGAGCCGTCATTTTGCTCTTTAATGCATGTTAGCTTTCTCTATGTTAAAGTATTAAATTAGCCGGATTTATGTTTGTTGTCTTGCTAGGATGTTGAGTGATGTTTTTATGTCATCATATGACTACTCTAGTTGCTTGACTATTAATTCTTTTCATTACGACTGGATCTGCATTATAATTTTCCTGTCTCTCAAGGTTTTATGCAAAAGAAAGGTGTTTCTCCACATCAGAGAGCTCAGATGATGCACTTCAGACCTTAAATCACATTAGCCAAATTGTGTTAGAAGAAAAATGCATATAGCCTCTAGACTCTCATGACTTCTTGGAAAAATTATGTTAACCCTTGTATAAATGTGCTGTTGGGGACATATGGAGGTGATTCTTCAATTATGGCAATATTTCTAGGATATTTTTGGTAAATGCATTTGTTCTTGATTCGATGTGCCATTTTTAATTATTTGCCAAATTTTTTTATAATCTTTTTTCAATTACGTTGTAATGTGTATTTTTTTTACATGAAAGAATTGACCAGAACTGGAAACATGAGCAGATTTTTACATCCTAACCTGAAAGCTTTACTGAACATGTTTTAATTAAGAAGCAATAGATTTTTTTGTAAAGTGAAAGTACATTTTTTGCTCACCAAAATATTTCTCTATCAAGTGAAAAATACCATTATCAATATCAAAACGCACATTAAGTGCATATCATCATTTTTATTATTAATTTATTTAAAAATGACAGATGAAAGTTCATGGCCATGGGGGGAAATAACAGATTAAATATTTTTTATTATATATATATATATATATTAGAATAAATTAGAATGAACATATCAGTTAACACTTGAGGACAACAGAACCAGGGAGAACAAATAAAATAAAAAAAAACTATTTCTTTCCTGAAACCATAAAGAAAGGAGCTGAAATATCAAATGTATGATTTAATGTGATCATAATATATTAACATTAACATCCAGTGCTTTTCTGTCAAATCAGATACTGGGGGTGTGGCCAAATAATAATAATATTATAATAGCAGCTTTTCTGTTGTAACAAAAGTTAGGGGGCGTGGCCAACATGGTTATATTAATAAACCCTACATTCTCTGGTTATAATATCGTATAATAATGAAAAATACAAGCTGTCATAGATCTAAAGGATCTAGGTTTATTATATAAAAAAAATGTTTTATTTATTCATTTATTTTTTCGCTGTGTCTCAGGAGGTTCCTGGCCGAACAAAGGGTTTGTAATCGCAATCAGGGCCGGTTTAAACGCTCGCGTAAACACGGCTTGTCCTGTCCTGCGTCGCGTCGCGTTGCGTTGCGTCGCGTCTCGCTCGCGCTCTCTCAGCGGAGACTCTTCCGTCACGGTCACGGTGGACACGTCAGAGACCACCACACATTTACTCGAGAGAGCGTCCGCTCGGAGACCCTCTGCCCTACTTTTGTTGCCCGATGCTGCTGCGCGTGGAGGATGAGGAGGCAAATCCCGGAATGTCCTCGCGGATGGATGCAGCTGTTGTTGTAGTTCCGCTGGATAGTTCCGTGAGTGAATCGTGAATCAATAGATAGATAGATAGATATTATTCATCCCATGAGGGACACCGAAGGACAGCTTTGGAAGGACTTTTAAAGCACCGGAGGAGAGAAGGGGGTCCACTCAGTGCCGACCGGAGCGTGATGGACCCCCTGGCCAACATACGCGCGTCTCAGGCGGAGCGCAGCAGCAGAGGAGCCGCCGGTGGGGGATCAGCGGACGAGCAGAGACGCGGCTGCGGGAGAGACGCGGCGCTGGGCGGCAGCGACAGTCTGAGCAGCTTCGCCGACATGGAAGACTCGCTGGAGGAGAAACTCAAAGGTCTGGCGTTCAGGAAGCAGATCTCGTACAGGTAAATATGCGGTTTAATTCAAACCTGCGCGTTCGTGTACAACACTGCGTATTTCTCCACCATATGGAGCGGTGGAACATGGTTTGTTTGTGTGCTTTACTGAACAATGCAAACCAACACCCACCCACCTAAATAATAATATACTCAATAATAATAATAATAGACATCTTGCTAGGATGTCCCTGGGAAAGGAGATTTCGTTTATTATCATGAGAACAGCAATGGCATTATAGGCTAGTGTTGGTGAATGAATTGCTTCATGTGAAAATCGTTTCATATGCATGATATCTTTATATACTCTGTTTTCCTCTTTCACATAAAAACCCTTGGGCAATCAGACAGGCACTTGTATTGAATTGCTTAATTGGCATTTAAATATAACACGAATAGAGTGATGCATAGCTGTATCGTAATGAATTAGACTTCATCTGTGGTAGAGAGACCTATTTCCATATGTAAGGGTCATAAACCACATGCTTTGACATATTAAACGTCATTTCGGCACTACAGAATGGTTTTCAATTTCAGAATAATCTCTGGTGCGTCTGTATCAACTAAAGCCATCTTACTTGCATTGATAAGTTTGCGTGTGCTATGGTGCTCCTCATGTTTTATCTACCTTAAAACTGTCCTAGAGCTGTTGAAAACATCTAAATCTTGCTTTTTTGGGGGGATGCATTGATCATGTCATTCATTCCAGATCAATGTAAGGATCGAGCCGTATTGACAACACTAGTTTCATGCTGAAACAATGGTTTCATGTGGTCACTTGAGCAAACTTGCCTGTTCCTCTCTTCTCAGAGACCCCTAATTTGACCTCCCCTTCCTCCGTTTTCCACCTGTCCATGGAGGAGGGTCACTACCACCCTTACTGCTCCTTCAGAGTCTTAAGGTCAATCCTCCTCTGAGCAGATCAATCCTCGGCTCACAATTAAGGCCAGTCTCTGAAGAAATGATCAAAGGTGTCCTCTCTTTCATAGGAGCGATCTATATCCATCTCCAATTCAGATAAGACGTCAATAAGTCCCATGAAACCCAACCACACCATCAGTAAAACAAACAAACACAAGCCAGCAGGGCCTAAAATGCGAAGCATCTTAGATAAAAAAAGTGTCTTGTTCGGCTTTTTTAAGCAAAGCGTCTAAAAATGGAAGCTTTGAATTTGCCAAAGACAAAAACAGGAACACTGTTCCAAAATCTAGTGAGCTGCCTTGGGGTTTACTGTCTGCATAGGCAACATCCTAACTGTAATGACACCTTATAAATGATTGATTCAGAGCGCTCTATATAGACAGTAAGAAGCATTCCTCAAATGAAATGCACAGGATTTCCATGATACTCAAATACACAAAAATATATGCAGCCACCCACAAATATTTGGTAAAATAATATATATATATTATATATAAAACTCAACTCACAATTGATTTCCATGATACTCAAATACACATTAAAAAAAATATATAGCACCCATAAATGTTGTGTAAAATAATATATATTTTTATTTTATATATTTGAATTTAATGCTTTTTTTTTTGTTTGTTTTAAGAATTAGTGCAAATAGCGTTCCTCACATGAAAAGCAAAGGAAACTGAACTCACATTTGATTTCAGTGTGATTTTAATTGATTTACACGATAATCAAATGCACAAAAAAATATATAACATCCGTAAATGTTGTGTAAAATAGTATATATCTTTATTTTTATATATATATTTTTTGAATAACATAATTAATTTGTAACATAATTATTTTAAGCATATTTATAATTTCTCTTACTTCATCAGTCATCTGTTTCACTGGGCTTGTCGCAAAACATAGTTCTGTGCCAAAAACGTTGTCTTATATTTACGCAGCTCAATCAGCATAATAATCATGCTGCTATCTTTTGGAACAGGCTTTGCAACAGAAGCATATCTGATGTCTTAAAATGCTGCCTAGGTAGGCAGCTCACTAGGATTTGGAACAGAGCCACATTATTCTTCTACATACTCTCCTGAAATATAGGAATAGCACTCATATCAGTTTTTTTGTTATCTAGTGAATCATGTTCGGCTTATAAAGAGGCTCTTGTGTCCTCTCTCTCTCTCTCTCTCTCTCTCTCCAGGACGCTCTAGGAGTGCAGCAGCAGACAGTGGAACATAAAAAAGAACTCATGCATTTTTAAGTGTCCCGATCACAGCCTCGATTGTAGATTTATACATGCTTGACACATTTTCACTCCGCCAGGCTGCTGAAAAGTGAAACATGCATATTTATTGCGGTCTGCTCAGTATCACAGAGTTGGCCTGCAAAAAACTTGTTGCCATGTTTGCCGAGCTTCTGCAAATGGTGAACGGCTACTTCATTAATTTACCATTCTAAATAGATTGACCAATCATGATCATGTGTGGGAAGAATTAATTTACATCTGAAATGTAATGAAAAATTATATTAATTGAGGAAAATAATGTGTTTTGATTGGATTTGAACTACTGATTTATATGGCAGGTGGATAGAAACGGGGAAAAAAATCACATTTTGAAGAATTTTTTTCTCATAGTAACGTGCAAGACTAGGAATGTGTAAATAGGGTCAGTTTGTTCATGCATTTTGAATCCAGAACATTCAGTCAGCACATCGAGGAAGCATATTACCAGGAAGTGATGCGTTGTGCCACCAGTGATGCTGCAGAATAGATGGGAATGGGTTTAATATTTGATCACATACAAGTGTTGTGCTTTATCAGTGAAACTTTAATAAGTGCCCTGGTGCATTTAGTCATCTGTCAAGTTGTGCCAGTCCTCCTCCTGTTTGGCACTTTGCTTCGTGCGTTTGGCTGAAGACTGTAGACGCTTTGCCCAATTAGGACGTACCCTTCACAGTCAGTTTAGCGTGCTGTTATTATTATTATTTTTTATAATTCTCATTTCTAGCTGTCACTGAATCAGAGTGTGAAATGGCCGCCACACCTACTGTAAACATTGGTGCGCAAGAAAAAATGCGTGGTCTGTAGTCGTTCCATCAGTGACTAAATGTGCACAAACCTTTTCTGGACCCGCAGTTGTCCTTTTGTAAGTCCAGCTGATGTGTTTAATCACACTGTATGCATAGGTGCATACAAGAGGGCTTGTCTTGTCTCATTTCCTGCAAAATGCAAAACCCAGGAGCACTCAGTAGATCCTGATGGCTGACGCGAATAAGAATTTTACATAAATGGTCATAATCTCTCCTGAAGATGGCTGTGCGCAAACCGGGCGGCTTAACGCCGATAAAGCCAGTCTTTTTGCTTTTTTCCGCTGCGGCCGGGGTTTGTATTACAGTCTGAGGATTGGGCTTTTGAAGCTTTTCCTTATTCGGTATGTGAGTGTAAGAGGCTTTTCCTCGGCTGTACTGTTCGGTGAAGCTTCCGGTTGATCTGCGCCTCATCAGGGGTCAAAGCAAAAACTTAGTCCCAGGCTTTTGTTTTGTAGTAGGCCCGAACTGCATTTCCACTGATTTAAGAGCCAAATGATAACTTAAAGGACTTTTAATGCCCACAAATAAACATAGTACATGTTTACAAGTCTTAGTTCTTAGTTTGAGAATGTTGTATGCTGTTTCTTCCATTCATTTTCCTACAAGTTGTCCGTCTGTGCTGTCTCCTGTTGTTCCTCTACGTGACTCAGTCGTTCTGGCAGAGAAGCACCTGCAGACAACCAACACACTGGAGGTGTGAGAGACTTCATCTCCCCCTCTGTCTCTTCATTCGTCTTCGCCCACTTCAGCAGGGAGTTAACACTATCTCACCACTCTAATTCTCTCTGACACTGATGGCTCAAACAGGCTCGCTGGTCTTTTATAAAACATGCTACGGCAGCTGCCGTCAATGTGTTTTGGTGGAGCATCAAACGAGAGAATGAAATGTGGTTTTAACTGTCGTAGGCGTGATTTTGCCGTATGGACAGGCTTTGGTTTGTTGCATCACTTACTCATCGTGTTAATAATTGTGTCTCTTTTAATGCACTCGCAACTCATTTAACAAACTTTTGAGCGTATATAGGACAAGTGTTCTAACCTAACAAGATGTTATTGGTTATATTGTTAATATTTTTACATCAGAAATTTTTTTTTTTTTTGAGAAAAAAATAGTTATTGCATATAGATGCAACAAATAATGTTGCATTTAGATGCAAATTTTTTTTATTCCATTTAGACACGTTATTGCATTTAGATGCAAAGAAAAATTGTATTGCGTTTAGATGCCAAAAATGTTATTGCATTTAGATGTGCAAAGTAACATTTTATTGCTTTGAATCAAATTAATTGTGTGCAATATCATAAGGGATATTTGTTAAGAATGTATATATGGTTTGTGTTAATTTCCTGTTGTCTTTGCTGTCCAGAATGTGCTCTTGAACATAGATGAAGGACAAAATGCAAGTGGACAAAGGTCTGTAATTTCTGTCGCCATTCGAGCTGTAGTGTTTTTGTTAAATCATTCTTGGTTTGATTGCGCAAAAATAGCAGAGAAATCATGATTTATATATATTCTAAGACCAGAAATCTAATGTGGTTTTGCCCATTTGTGTTGATTTTAGGGAAAACTCCAGAACTCTGCATATGTAAACATGGTGAATGTGTTAAATGGAGTAGAGAGGACATGGTGTCTCTGTACACAGGCTCCTGCATATATACAGGCTGTACTGGGATTACTGGGTGGCTTTTTTAGCCGATGATGTGACAGGACTGAGTTTTATTCATGATCTGAATCCTGACATGGAGTAATTTAACTGATTGCTGGAGCAGTAAAATTGGTGTGTTAATCCTACCTGCTGAACTGTAGTGCAGTTCTGCCTTTAATAGAAGCAATAAATGAAAAGATGCAGAAGAGATCTGAAGTGTATCATTTATTTCTCAGGCTGGATAAGGTTGTACACATGTGCAGCTCATTTGCATTCGCTCTGCACACATTATCTTTTCAGCACAATTCTCCCTTTCTGTCTCTCTCCTGGTCTCTTTCTCTGTGTAATGCGCTCACT